GTATGTTACAGCATTTGCCTGGCTGGCATTGTGACTGCATGCATTTGAGTTCAGATGCTTGCTGAATATGATTTTCTGCAAGCAGTTCTCATTCATTGTATTTGATCTGAGGTGGGCCTTTGGTATATTATGTTTCAGGTGCTCTTCTAGAATAGGGTATGGATGGTAACTGTGGATTAAAAGTCTATATGATGCTATCAAGTTAACAAATAGCTCAATGAGAATTTGTACATTTGTGCTATTAGCCTCCATCATGCTCTTGGCATTTTGTTTCTGTTCAGTATTGTGTGAGAATTTAAAATTTTATTGTTTCTTTTGTGTGTTTTTAATTTATGGAAATAAATTTTTCTGAGAACTTTTCAGGTTTTTAAGGCCGCCTTTAAGGCTTGTATCAGTAAATATGCGTGATATACCTGTCTTGTACACATGGGGGAAGAGGTCAAATCTCCAGTGAGATTGACACCGTTAAGTAACTGGGTGGGCTGTTGGCAAGGCATGGAGCAGCAATTCTAGCGTTCATTCCTCTGTAGCCATACTTTAACAGAAATAGACCTGGGGGATTTTAAGTATGATCCTAGCTACTGTTCACAGCACTGAGACAGCATCTGTCTCTTAAGGTAGTAGAGCAGCAGGAGCCAGACAGTTCCTGCTAGGTTCAGAACCGAGAGGTTCAAAGCTGAAGCGGGCCAGTGGTTCATGTGCTACAGTCTGTGCAAGGCATCAGGCTCATGCTTTTGAACCAAACCTGAAGCATGGGAACATCAAAAAGGGCTATTAAGTACCTGTAAGGTCTGTGCCAGAAAACAACTCCCCTGCCCCTCCAACCCATAAAATCTTGTGTATAACCCAGATTTTCAATTTGTTGCTGTTCAGCTAAGCTGGCAGATGCATTTCTTCAATCAGAGAAGGGAGTTATGAGAACAGAGTGCAGTGTTACGTGGGTCCCGCAGGTGGCATGTAAGCTCCAGTGAAGAAGGGAAGGGAGCACCTCAGAGACCTAAACAAGCACCCTGCTGTTCCTCTGCTTCTGCAGGGCTACAGCTTGCTGGCTGCAACACAGGATATGATGATTCTGCTCTGTTACCGTCCTGGGACTGGCTTCATTCACCCCTTTTTCTCTGAAAGGTAGATGAGTGTGGACCTGCATTGTCTCTCAGTTGTTTGATTAGTCAGTGTCAAACAATGGGACAAATGAGATGGACAATAGTCTCAACGAAGACACACTGAATCTAAAACCCTTGCTGCTGGTCAGAGTGCAATTTTTTGCTCTCTCTGTAAGTGAAAAGGAGGAGGAGATGGGTGGCTGTAAGTCAAACAGCGGGAAAGACAAGTGAGGCATGGAGCAAACTGTTTAAAACCAGGTATTCATAGGAGTGTATTTTACAGCAGAGTACTTTACTGCTGCCTTATTTTGTTGGTTTTGGTAGAGGGGATTTTTAATGTTTTTTCCTTTATATGGCAGATACATTGACATTGACTTTGTCTTCACTATCTGTGGCTCATTTATTGCTAGCTAAGATTAATGCAACTGCAATATATGTAGCAAGGACTGGAAAGTTTTGGGTAAAGGATTTTTTAATATTTTTTTTCCTAATTAAAAATCTTAACCTTGCCTGATTCAGGGTGCATAGGAGCAGAAGGTGATAACGTGCTTGCAAACTGAAAGGAGCCCTGCCAATGAAGAGCTATCCACGCTAAATCTTTATCCACCAGCAGGCAAAACAAATATGATACATTCTGTTCAAAAGGCTTCATATCATGTTCAGGCAATTTTGGCTTGTAAAACCAATGCTGTTAATTGATAAATCATATTTTGATACTTTATAGAATCATAGATTTGAAGTGTCAAAGTACTGTAAAGTAATGTTTGGAGTTTTTGACAAGGATGAATATCCATTGTTTTCCTTTGCCTTAAGGCTGCAAGTATCCAGTTCTGTTGACTGTTGGATGCCTTAACACATTTGTTTATGAGAAAAAAATGTTTTACTAGTATAAAT